AGGAGCAGGAGCAGGAGTAGGAGTAGTGGTAGTAGTAGTAGCAGTAGTAGTAGTAGTAGCAGTAGTAGTAGAAGTCGTAGTAGTAGTAGTAGTAGTAGTAGTAGTAGTAGTAGTAGTAGTAGTAGTAGTAGTAGTTGTATTTGTGGTGGTAGTGGTAGTACCAGTAGTAGTGGCACTAGCGGTAGCAGTGGTAGCAGTAGCAGTAGCAGTAGTAGCAGCAGCAGTAGTACTAGTAATCATGAGGAGAATAGTATCATTCATATCTATATAGTTTTTATAATTATAGTAATACTAAGGAGAAGAAGAAGAAGAAGAAGAAGAAATATGGTTTCTAATGTTGTTACAGCTTTGTCAATTTGGGAGCAGGTTTTGATTACTTTCATTTTTCTTACAGAATCTGCCTCTGTAGGGGGACATGCCCGACCTAACGTCACGAAAGCGACGCACGCGCGGCCCCCAGACGGCACCGCGCCGCGCCCGAGCTGCTCCAAAGAGGGCGCGCAGGGTCAAGACCTGGAGTCTGGAAGCAGGGGATTCCTTCGCCAGGGGGCCCGGGCCCGTCCCCGACCACCCTGGCCCTGTCTCCCAGTCCCTAGGGTTAAGTCGGGCGTGTCCCACTACAGGAGGATTTTCGACGAAAAATAAAAAATACCCAAAAATAATCAAAAAATAGTCTAAAAATAGTATGGGGTCAATTTTTTAAGTATTTTGTTTACCTTCTTGGGGTATTTTTGGGGTATTTTTTATTTTTCGTCGAAAATCCCTTTGTAGGGGGACACGCCCGACTTAACCCTAGGGCCGGCGGCGCAGCAGACGGTGTTTTGGCGTCAGCGGCCTGGGTCGGGCCACTTCTCGGGCCTGCTGTTGTTCCTCGACGGGTCCCCGCCCCTTTCCCCGCGTCGCGCTTCCTATCGCGAGCCGGTGGGCCGGCGGCGCGGCGCGCGACCGCCTCGGCCCCGCGCAGGCCGCGGCGCATGGGCCCGTCCCTGGGGAGAGCGCGCCCTTCCGGTCGTCTCGAGGCGCCGAGGGTTTTGCTGTCGGCAGGCTCTGCCAGGCAGCCATGCCCCCTTACAAAATGCACGCGGATTGTACACGAACCGTCTCCACGCTTCGGGCGGGTCCTGGGGCTGGGGCTCGGCCGTGCAATCCTGGGGCCCAGACGTCTGGGCGGCGTTCGGGCCCAACGACTCCTCGGCCCTCGAGGCCCAGGCCCACTGCAGCATGACAGACGCGCGCCGACCGCACGACGCTGTGGGACAAGCGAGGAAGCGATGCTGCGGATGAGCTTGCGAAGCAAGGTATTGGTCTCCATGGAGTGGCGTGGCCTGGTCGAAGCCTCGAAGCTGCTCCTTGGAGTGGACGTTTGCACGGGCGGGTTTAGAGAAGGGGCTGCCCACCAGGAGCTCGCAGACATAATAGAGCAGTACTCAGCGGGCCGAGAGGGCCTCGAGGAAGATGCTCCCCCAGCGGCGCCGCCTGGCGCGACTCACCCTGCCCCCATGCAAAGCGCTGACGCGGATCCGCCGCAGCAGCCAGCCGATGGTTTCGAGTCGTTTCGCGACGTGGGTCATAGCTTCAATGGCCACCCAATGCTGCACGCGCGTGCGACGGCCAGGTCTGGCTACGATGGCGACAAGGCTTTAGATGTTTGTTGCGCCTGCGGCGCCTTCTCTGGCGAAAGGCCCACGCGGGCCCTGGTTCGGCCGTGCCTTCGAGACCATGCGCCCCAAGGCTTGGACGAGCAGCTTCGTCGGATCAGGGCGAGCCGCTGGCCCTCCTACAAGCAAGGCCTGAAGGACCTGCTTCGACTGGGCCAGGGCGAGTCGGCTCCCGGCTCCCCGGCTCAGGACGCGGGCGCTGGCGGGTTCTGTGTACCTTAGGGGGGGACGACGTCCCGAGCCGAGGTGCCGAGTGCTTTCGGTTCTGAGGAGGCAGAGCTCCCCACCGTCTTGGCGGAGGGGGCGAGACTCCTTAACGAAGGAGGTCGAGGAAGGGCCCGACGAGCCCCTGGACGATATCCGGGAGGCCTCCACGGAGGCCTCCGACGGCGGGCCCGGCGTGGGCCCGACCGAACCTGGCCTCGGGCCGCCTGCTCATCTCACCACCTCCGAACCTGGTCCTCTTCGCCCCTCCTCCCTCAGCCTCTCCTTCCTCCCTCCTCGTCCCTCCTCCTGGAGGCCACTGAGCTCGAGGCGCTCCACAGCTGCCACGGGACGGTGTTCAGCGCGGGCACATTTGCATCGGCACCTCTGGAGCGCGCTGCGGCGGCGCGCGCCCGGTTTACCCGGGCGGAGGCAGAGGGGTTTGATGGCCCAGGGGCGGGCGCTACACACACTCGCCGGGGAGCCTCGTCGAAGGCACGGACGATCGGAGCCCCTTGATATTCGGCGACTGCAAAGGGTCTGGTTACGCCGGGGTGCAGTTTGCGATCAGCACTGTTTGGGCCTGGGGAGCACGACACTGTCCTCGTCGGGCCTCCTCGGGGCGCGGGCGAACTCTATCGAGGTCCCGCGCGCCCTCCAGGGTGCCCCCAGGAATGTTTTCCAGGGTGCCAGTTGCAAACCACACCCTTTGCAAACCACACCCTTTGGAGTCGCCGAGATATGTGTGCGGTCAGGAGCGTTTGCTTAGCGTGTTACGTCGCCAGTTCTTGCCCACCTCGCTTCGGCACGTCCGGCGGAACACGCGTTGCCCCCCAAGCATCAGCGTTCCGAGCTGTTCCCAGCCTCACGTCGCACGAAGCAGAGCGGTACGATATCAGCCTGCAAAGCAGAGCGCGTCGCACGGGCCGCCGCCGCCGCGACACGCTGAGCAGAAGGTCCTGACCGTAGAGCCAGGACGCTGAAATCAGGACCACGTTGGGCTCAGGAGGGGCTGTGGTTTTCGGGCAGCTCCTTACATCTAGGTCAGGAAACCGCTTCGTGGCTGATGCTCGCCGTGGCCCGACAAACCCCTTCGTTCCTGTGCTGCGCCCCTGATGGTAGCACGAAGGCTGGAAGCAAGGGGTCCTGACCGTACGGCGGGGGCGTTCGCTCAGGAATCTACCCACGAGGCTCCAGGCCCTGGATGATCCCTGATCTGATGAGGGCGGCGGTGATATCCACGGCCAGGCCTCAGCTGGTGCTCCACCGGCTTCCAGACCCTGGATTCCATATCCAATGGTTCCTTATACCATGCCCTCACCGCAATGCTCCCCCCTCGTTTTTTGCAGTGCGATGTCAGGCCTGCTCGGTTAGCCCTGCCTGCCAAAACTGCCTGGCAGGCGCCCCCCCCCCAGGGGTCAGAGGTGCGCGCCCCAGGGCCTGTGAGCGCCCAGGGCCACAAAGGCTTGAGCCAGTACAGCCCGCCCGCCATAGCAAGGATGGGCAACCTTCCCAAGGGTGCCCTTGCATCCTTGCCTCCTCGGTCCAGCCTTGGCCACTTTCGTTGGCCGCGCCCTGCTCGGAAAGCCTCGGAATAGCCTTCCAGGGTCCTTGCATCCTCTTCGTGCTTCCTCATGGTACGGGTCGACTGGAATGCCCCCCTGGACTATCCGCCCCCAGTCGCCTCTGCCGGCGGTTTGGGAGGCCGGAGCGGCCTCTCGCGCGGAGTTCCGCCGGCCACCTCGGCGCTCGCGGGCGGGGGGGGGGGTGCTCGGCGGCCGTGCGGCGGCGGCCAGTCGGTGCGGCGAGAGGAAAGGAAATGAAGAGGGGCGTCGGCGAGCGGCGAGCGGTCAGGGACGCCGACAGGCAAGGGAAAGACTCGGCCAGGCGATACTCGGCCAGGCTCAATTCGGCCGAGTTTGGTTTCTGCCGACAGGGGAGATCGGGTCCAAGGGGCGGGAACATCGACCCCCAAGCGAGGGGGGACCATCGCAGATCCATCGGCGATATATCGCCTCCCTTCTGATCTGCACCATGAGGTGGGGGGGAAGGAGAGAGACAGAGAGAGAGAGAGAGCGCGCGCGCAACAAAACAAAACAAGAGTGTTCTAGTATGTGCATACAGACAGACATGCATACTACACATAATACAGCTATACAACACATACATACGGACATACATACATACATACATACATACATATATGCATACATGCATACACAGATGCATGCATACATATATGATTATAGCTATACACACATACAGACATGCATGCACAAATACATACATGCTACATACATACATACAGACAGACATGCATACATGCATGTATGCATACATACATGCATGCGTACACACATTCATACAATCATACGTATATACATACATACATACATAAATGCATACATACATGCATACAGACATGCATGCATACATGCATGCATGCATACGTGTATGCATACGTGCAAGCATACATACACATTATACATACATACATGCATGCATGCATGCATGCATGCATGCATACATACATGCATACATACATACATGCATACATGCATGCATGCATGCATGCATACATGCATACATACATACATACATACATACATACATACATACATCCATACATACATACATGCATACATACACATATACATGCATACGTACATACATACATACGTTCATATATATATATAGACATACATACATACATATTTGTATACGTACATATATATATATATATGCATGCATACATGCATGTATACAACCATACATACATACATGCATACATACATGCATGCATGCGTACATACATAACTATGTATATAAAGAGAGACGAAGAGAGAGAAGGAGAGACAGAGGGAGACTGATAGGAAAAATGAGAGCGCGACATACTTAGAGAGACAGAGAGAATAGCGAGACGAATGCGCGCGGGGAGGTACCCGTGCAGCTCACGCACATTATAGTGGGCATCGCATCTGGTGCGTGCGCCTGCGTGGAAGCACTCAGCGGCGGAGCAACGGCGACGGCGATAGCATGGCACAGGGAGGGGTTAACGCCGACAGCTGCCGCCGCGCTGCGCCATCGCACCCTGCTATCTCACGCGTTCGTCTCACTATGAGCTCGATCTTCTGCCATATCCCAAGAGGAAACAGATGAGGAGGAGGACCCCGTGGCCTTTTGGCCCAATCTTAATTTGGATTTGGAGGGGCCGACCATGGCGCAGGCCTTGGGGAGCGTGAGACAGCCGGCGGCTGCTCGCGGGGCCTCGTCTCTGGCAGCCGAGGTCAAAAGATACGGGAGCGCAAAGCAGTGGCGTGCAGCTCTGGTGTGCTTTCGAGATGCCCTGCAGGCGGGCACGCAAGCTGACGCAGTTGTTTACAACTGTGCTATCAGCGCTTGTGGTAAAAGTGAGCAGTGGCAGCACGCGCTGGCATTACTCGGCGAGTTCTGCCAAGGCGAATTTGAGCCGAGCATCATCAACTACAACGCTGGCATCAGCGCGTGCAGTAGATGTGGACAGTGGCAACATGCATTAGATTTGATGCGCGGGCTTTGGGAACAAACCCTGAAGCTGGACGTCTTCAGCTACGGAGCTGGAGTCAGCGCTTGCGAGAAGGGCGGGCAGTGGCAGCGTGCGCTCTTGCTCTTGAGCGAGGTGGCGGAAGCCAAACTGGAGGCGAGCACCCTGATTTATAATGCGGGCATCAGCGCGTGCGGGCGAGAAGGGCAATCCCAGCAGGCATTATCACTGTTGCGCGAACTGCAGGACGCGAAGCTCGAGCCAGACACAATATCGAGGCATTATGTAAGAAAGCTCTGCTTCCAGGCGGGACCCTCGGACATCCCTTAGACTCTAAGGTTTGGCGGGCGCAGTACATGGTCCGGGAGAATTCCTTAATCCATGGTGGGCACGAGCCTTGTTGTCCAGGGTCTCGACCATTCCTCAAACAGTCCAGGAACCTCGCCGATTCGAGCCTCCGCGTTCCTGAACAATGGCATCCTTGTCGAAAACCTCCTCCTCCTCCTCCTCGTCCTCCTCCTCCTCGTGCCTCGTTCCTCCTCCTCCTCCTCCTCCTCCTCCTCCTCCTCCTCCTCCTCCTCCTCCTTCCTCTTCCTCCTCCTCCTCCTCCTCGTCTCCTCCTCCTCTCCTCCTCCTCCTCCTCCTTCTCCTCCTCCTCATCATCATCATCCTCATCCTCATCCTCATCCTCGCTCCTCCTTTTAATCCTCGTTCCTCCTCTTCATCCTCGTTTCTCCTCCTCCTCCTCCTCCTCCTCATCATCATCATCATCATCCTCCTCCTCCTCCTCCTCCTCCTCCTCCTCCTCCTCCTCCTCCTCCTCGTCCTGATCCCCCCCGGCATTGGATTCATGTAAGGGTTAGTCAGCGCCCCCAAGACGTCAGCACGTGGCCCAGAGGGCCTTCGGCGGCCCCGCGGAGTGCCCAAGACGACGCCGGGGTGGCCCCGACACTCTCCACGATGGGCCCGCCGAGGGCGACAATAGCTGAGTTTCTGCCGGTAGTTCGTGCAGGTTCGCGACTCTCCCCAAGACGGCCCGTCAAGGTGGCCCCAGGGCACCCCTTGACCGCCCCTGGCCTCGCAAACAGCTTCCAGAGGCCGCAAGGAACGCCCTGATGGCCTCAAGAGGCCCGCGGGCCCCAAGGAGCCCAAGAAGCCCCAAAGAAGGCCCCAAGTTGGCTCCATGAGCGACCCGAGATGAGACCAAGTGTTCGGCCACACGTGTGTCGTATTCGTTTACTGGTCAATTATCAATGTGTCAATTCTCCCTCAACGCCCCCAGCTCATCGCTCCTCGCCAAACTCGCCTCGCCCCCTGCTCCTCTCGCATCACTCCTCCTCGTTTCTCTCTCCTCGCCCCTCGCTCCCTCTTGGCGTCTCGCTCTGTCCTCTTCAGCTATCCCTCCTCGCCTCCTTGCCCCTTTCTGCTTTGCCGTCGCTCCTCGTTTCTCCATCATTGCTCCTCGCTCGTCGCTCCTCGCGTCTCCCTCCTCGGTCCTCTTACGATCAGCAGGTTGTGCCAGAGGCCAGAAGTAGCAGCAAGCAGCACCCTGTAGCACCAAGCGTCAGCAGCGAATGGCAGCAGGCTCACGCAGCAAACGGCAGCACCTGGCAGGAGCACGCAGCATGCAGAACTGGGAGCCAGCGGCGCCATGCAGCAGCCACAAGAAGCAGCAGCAAGCAGCAGTGGCAAACATCAGCAGCACCGCGCAACTGCGGCAGCAAGCAGCAGCACGCAGAAACGGGCACGCAGCACAGCCCGCACCGAGCAGCAGCAGCAGAAGCACACCGCAACGCCGAGCCACGTCAAGCAGCAGGCGGCTGCCAACATCAGCAGCGGCAAGGCAGAACACACAAAGTTGCACCAAGCAGCACCAATCACCGGCAAGCGGCAGCGAGCGGACGAGGAATGAAGCAAGCAACACAGAATGTGCAGTCAAGACGTTGGATTCAGACCCACCTTGGGCTCATGAGGGGCTACAGTTTTCGGCCATTCCTTAGATATCTAGGTCGGGGGCCTAATCGTGGCCGAGGCTCGGTGTTGCCAGAAAAGCCCCTTCGCTTCTTATTTGGCGATTCGTACGGTGGCAGGAGGACTACAGGCGATCCTGCCACAAAACTGTCTGACCACCAGTTCGTGGAGCAGCCACGCGGGCCAGACAGCAGGCGAGCAGATAAGCAGGCGAGCGGTCATTGCCCTTGCGTGCCGCTCAGTTTTCGTGGACGTTGGTCCACGGGTCAGGCCGGGTCAGCTACAACGCTGGCATCAGCGCGTGTGAGAAAGGTGGGCAGTGGCAGCACGCAGTGACCTTGCTGCGCGAGCTTCGGGACGAAGTTCTCGAGCCAGACATAATCAGCTACAGCGCTGGAATCAGCGCCTGCGAGAAAGGTGGGCAGTGGCAGCGAGCGCTGTGGTTGCTGCGAGAGCTGACAGAGGTTAAACTGCAAGCGAATAGGATCAGCTACAACGCAGGGATCAGCGCGTGCGGGAGAGGCGGCCAGTTGCAGCAGGCATTGGTGTTGTTGCGCGAAATCCAAGAGGCGAAGCTAGAGCTGAACACAATCAGCTACAACTCTGCAATTAGCGCGTGTGAGGAAGTCGGGAATTGGCAGCAGGCGTTTTCATTGATGAGCGAGATGTCGAGAAACGCATTAAAACCGGACGACATTAGTTTTAGCACTGGAATTAGCACATTCCAGAAAAGTGGTGAGTGGCAGCGGGCGCTATCGCTGATGCGCGAGATGTTTGAAGCAGAATTGCGGATCGACGTCATCAGCTACAGCGCTGGAATCAGCGCCTGCGAGAAAGGCGGGCAGTGGCAGCAGGCGCTGTCGCTGATGAGCGAAATGGCGGAGGCGAAGCTGGAGCCCGACGTCGTCGGCCCTCGAGGTGTTGGATCTAAAGCGCGCGAGGAGTGCTGATGAAAGCGGGCCAGCCCTGGAACCCAGAAAGCATTCTGCCCAGCCGCTCCGCCAGTGCTCCATCTCCTCTCGCCTCCCTCTCCTCGCGCGGGCTCTGGACCTCTCGACCGTCGGCAAGAATCCAGCCGTTGTGACGAGCGCGGCGGGCTGCGTTCGGTCGGTTCGGTGGGGTCGGCTTTGGTGTGTCGCTGCTGCGTCGCAGCACCCTTGTGGGCTGCCTGCGGCCCATCGGTTTCGGTCGGCCTCGGTTTCGCTGCAGGTACGGTCGGTTCTCGGTTTTGCTGTCGCCGTGGACGGTCTCGAGATCGACGATCGAGCCTGTTGGGCGGTCTGGCCCCTTTGTGGGGCCTTAGGAGTCCGCTGGAGGCCTCCGGGGGGGTGCCCCTGGGAAGCTCGAGAAGCCTGTAGGGATTTGTTTTCGCCATGGGCACGAACGAGACGGCCGGTTTTTTCCTACCAGGAAGCTGGATACACATGATGCGGCTGGCTTGGGCGCGATTTGGATACACAGCTGGCCAGATGTCATTCCAGCCCTCGGCCCTCGCATGGCCGGGCACGGTGATCTCCGCAGGTGCATCCAGCACGTGGCCTCCAGATGTTCCACATGTGGATCCAGCCACGTGTGTTTCCAGCTTCCTGGTAGTCTCTAACCTCCGCAGGCACGTTCTTTGCCTCCAGGCCATCAGCAAGCTGCTGCTTGGGACGAAGACCAGCCCCGAGAGCTCCAGGAGCCCACATGCCCAAAGGGCTTGGCGACTCCTCCAACCGACCTGCGGGGATGAAGCCAGACATATCGAGGTGAGCCAACGTAAGTCCATGTGTCGCCGTGTCGTTTGTTCCGACGCGCGGCCTTCCGTCTTGGGGAGGGCGCCTCGGCCACCAGGGCAAATGCCGCCTCAGACGCGGTGGGCTCGCCGTGGGATTTGCCGCAGTGCCGGCTGCGTCTGCTTGAGGCGCGAGACGCAAGGATTGCCACGGGTTTGCCGTGGTGTCGGCGTCGTCCATTTGGGCGCGTCGATGACAAACGGCGCGGCGACATGTAACCCCAAGAACAAGATCGAGGTCCCAGAGACCTCAAGATGAGTCAGAAATCAATCGTTGGAAGCTCCAGCGCGCGTGGAGGCACAGCAGAAGCCGTCAAGCCCACAGCGACCCGTGACCAAAAGATCAGGACGTCGGATTTTTGGCGCCAGGCGCCCTGGAAGAGGACCCTGACTCCGAGGAGTCCAAGGTTTGGAGAACGAACAATGACATAAACATAAAAACTCGGAGGTCCGCGCGGATTTCTCGGATCGGCGCTGGGGCCCCCTGGCGGCGCCTCTGGCGCCGCCCCTGGCGCGCTCCGCGCGCCAGGGAGGGGGGTCCAGCGCCGATCCCAGAAATCCACGCGGACCTCTGAGTTTTTATGTTCATGTCAGATTTAGTTCCCCTAAAAGTCGACCTCTCGCCCTGGATCTCTTGGTGCCGCGAGAAGCCTCGACGGACGCTATCGTCCGTTTTGTTGGGGCATCCCAGGGACGTCTTCGTCTCCCGAGGCCATGATCAGGGATCCCAGATTTGGCGGTGACCGCCCCGTGTGGTGAGTCGGTGGGCATTCGGGTTGACCGCACAGTTTTGAGGACTTCGGTCGCTCTCGGCGTCTCTGGCGACTTGGGCCTCTGGGGTCCCAGTAAACGTGCGGTGAGGTCTTGGGGGATCTCGAGGTTACCGCACGGTCCGTCATTGCACTGATGTGGGGCCCAGAGAATGAAGACAACAAACAAAGTTAGTTAAACAAACAAAACAAATCAAATCAAAACAAAACAAGACAAGACAAGACAAGACAAGACAAGACAAGACAAGACAAACCAAAATAAAACAAACGAAACAGCACACAACAAACAAACTCAACTAAACAAACCAAACCAAAACAAATAAAGTAACAAACAAATGATACTGGAGAGAGAGAAAGAAAAAAAAAAAAAAAAAAAAAAAATCAGGGCTAGGGGGCTATAGGGCTATAGGGCTATTGAGCTATAGGGCTATAGAGCTATAGGGCTACAGAGTTGTAGGGCTATAGGGCTATTGGGTTATTGGGCTATAGGGCTATAGGCCTTAGGGCTATAGGGCTATAGGGCACCCCCGGGCACGCCCGGGCACGCTCGGGCACCTGGGCACCCCCGGGCACCCCTGGGCACCCCCAGGCACCCCCCGGGCACCCCCCGGGCACCCGGGCCCCGGGCACCCCCGGGCACCCCCGGGCACCCGGGCACCCGGGCGTGCAGCGAAAATCGGCGACAAACCGAACCTAAGCATATGAATCCGCCAGGACCCCTACAGAGGCAAGCTCTGATTGGGGAAGCAAAAGCAATCAAAGACGAGACAACACGCGACGAGCAGGCTGTCCTCGGGAGGAGCTCGCTATAGCTCCCTGGGCCCGCGCTGCGGCAGGACCGCCACGGCGACGGTGGCGCGGCGGCCGCGGGACGAGGGCGGCTCCGCCGGCGGAAGCACGGCGGAAGCAGCAGCAGAGACGAGAGACACCCCACGGGGGCGCGGAGGACGTCGTCGCGCGCTCCCCGCGTCACGGCCGGGACCCGAGCCCAGGGCGGGGCCGCGCCGCTCCTCCCGGGGAGGGGGGGGGGCGGCGGAATAGGGCGGGAGGGCGCGGAGCCAGCATCGCGGGGGGCGAGGTGCGCGGACTGCAGGTGAGCCGGGAGCTCGGCGGAGAAGAGTCAGGAGGGGAAAAAACACAGACACCACTAATCGTCGATTTCCCAGAAAACATGGGAAAGCATGGGAATCATGGGAAGTGGGGAAGAAGACCAAAACCCAGAAAATATGGGAAAAGATGGGGAATAGTTTCATTTGTGTGTATTTCTTTGTGTGTCCTGGGGGCCCCTTCAAAGAGCAGGGTCAGACACCCCCATGGGGAGGTCGACGCCCGCGCGCCGTGGGTCTCTGGAGTCGCCCAGGTCCCGGAGGCGGCGACGGGGGCGAATAGCCCCCGGGGGGGGGGGGCGAGGCACGAGTCCAGGGGCGCCGACGGTCCGTGTCTTCGGCGAGGCTCCCGCGCGAGTGCGTGCGGTGCCCGCCCCTGGGCCATGCGCCCCTGTCGTCGCCGCAGAAGGCAGTCGCCGCACATGATTCAGGAGGGGAAAAAACACACAAGTAATCGTCGATTCCCCAGAAAACATGGGAAGAGATGGGAAGTGGGGGGGAAGACAGAAACCCAGAAAAAATATGGGAAAAGATGGGGAATACTTTTTATTTGCGTGTATTTCTTTGCGTGTCCTGGGGGCCCCTTCAATGATGGCGGGTGCAGGGGCGAGGCTGCAGGGCCTCTTCGGCGTCCGGCGTGCCGCCCGCCGCCGAGCTGCCCTCGGCGGGTGGCCAACGAGATCAGCTGAGGACCTTGGCATCGCTCGGACGTGTGCGTTTTTCCTTCGGTGAGGACCATCGAGGAGCATCCTCGATCGCTTGGCGCAAAAGCCACGCACGAAACCGAAAAACAAGCACAGGGAATGGACGTCCGAGCGATGGCGAGGCGGAGGACGGGCTGAGAGGCGAGGGGTGCACAGGGCATCCTCGGAGAGCCACATGGCCCCCTTGCTTCGAGGAAGCAACGACTGCACGAGCATAGCTTTTTCGGAGCTCCGCGCGGACCTGCGACAGCCTGTGTCTGTGTTTCGCGTTATTATGTATTTTCTTTTTTTTTTCGGAAGCCGCCTAATTCTTGCGATGGGTGGCGGTTGTGTGACAAATAGCCCTCGAGATCTCCAGGATTTCCGCGGCGCTGGCGGAAGTGGTGCCCAGGGACCGGGTGCATTCAGAGCGGCAGGACATCCAGAACGAGATCAACACGCAGCAATCTTAGTACACGGCCGTTTCCCCGCTGCGTGGGTGCAGGCCCGTTGGCCTGCTCTGGTCGTCTACAGCGCTACGATCAGCGCGTGCGAGAAGTGGGGGGAGTGGCAGCAAGCGTTGTCCTTGTTGTACGAGCTTCGCAGGGCTAAGCTGGAGCTCAACGTTGTCGGCTGCAGCGCTGCGATAAGCGCGTGCGAGAAGAGCGGTCAGTGGCAGCAGGCTTTGACACTACTGCGCGAGTTACGGAGAACCCAAGTCCAGGCAGATGGAGTCTGCTATAACGCCGGAATCAGCGCATGCGAGAAAGGTGGTGGGCAGTGGCAGCAAGCGTTGTCGTTGCTACGCGAGCTCTGGGAGGTGGTGCTGGAGCCCGACGTCGTCAGCTACAGTGCTGCAATCAGCTCGTGCGAGCAAGGCTGGCAATGGCGGCATGCGTTTTCGCTTCTCAGCGAAATGCTGGATGCGAGGGTTGACGCCAATGTGGTCACCTTTGGAGCTGCAATCAGCGTGTGTGCTAAGAGTGGGCAGAGTCGACAGGCATTGCATTTGTTGAGCCTGCTACGGGAGGCGAAGTCTGGACGCTTCGCGTATCCCTACACGCCCATCCAGAAGCGATGCCCAGGCGGATCAGCGCAACAGAGAGAAACGGGCACCCGTCATAACGAACAGGGGCTGCCGTCCGTCAAGCGAAGAGACGCGGCACCTGTCAACGGCAATGGGGGACACCCGTCAAGCAAACAGGGTGGGTACCAGTCAGGCGACGAGTAGGGGGGTACCCAGCAAGCGAAGGAGGGAGTACCCGACGGCCCGTCAAGCGGAGAGGGGTACTCCCGTCAAGCGAAGCAAGCGAAGAGGGGGGACTGCTCAGGCGAAGGGGGAAGGGAGCACCCCGCATGCGAAGAGGGGCCCACTGGAAACACAAGGACCCGGACAGGGATGAGAATGAGGAGTCCAAGAAGGATGTGTAGGAAGAGGCCGCTTGGAGGAACAGGGAGGACGAAATTGCAATGAAAAACAACGAACTGGATGAAGAGGACGAACGGGACGATAAGGACCAGGAAAAGAAGGGCGAACATTTGAGGACGCGAAGGAGTAGAAGTACGATAAGGAAGACGAGGAGAGACAGAGAGAGAGAGGAGGAGAATAAGGAAGCAATGAGCAAGAAGAACAAGAAGAGATAGGAGGGGAGGACGATGGAGACGAAGGGGGGAAGCATGAGGAGGACGGCAAGAAAGGTAATGAGAACGAGAAGTAGAGGAAAGCGAAGAGAAGGAGAAGGAGAAGGAAGACAGAGATCGCGAGGAAGGCATGAGGACACAGGAAGAAGCACGAGGACTGCGAAGGAGGTGGACATGAAGAGGCTCTGCATGGGCTGGCGGGGATACGGTTGGAGCATCCTGGGCGCTCTGAGTGAACAGATAAGTGCAGGATCACATAGCGAGGTTCGATGATCTAGCTAGGTCTTTGAGTGTGATTGCCCTTGTTGAGCATCCAGGAGGTTTATCCTCGTCACGGCTGGCTTTGCTTCGAAATTGTGATCAAACGCACCCCAGGACAGGTCCGGCGGGTGATTTGGGAGAGGAAGGAGGAAGAGGAAGAGGAGGAGGACAAGTGGGGACACCCAACAATCCGAATCTGGAACCAGGCCAAAGAGGTTCCGATATTGCAAGTGTAGCGACACATTGTGTAGGCGTCTGCTGTTTCATTTGGGCTCTCTCGAGTCCCTCTTGCCAAAAAGCCCTCTTGGATCTCGCTCGGGGTACCATTGGGACTCTTTTGGGCACTCTTCGAGCCCTCCTGGGCCTCTCGTAGAACCGTCTCGAGACATCTTGGCGCTGTCGTAAGGCCTCAGAGGACCATCAGAAGTGAGAACGCGACATTCCAGAAATCAGAGCAGAAGCAGCGACAACAGAGGTCTTGTAAGCGCACAGCTCGCTCTTCACTGCTCGGTCTCACTGGACATGTGTGCCCAAACCTTCGGCACCCGTCCGCTTCGTTGTACTCGACTAGACGTAAGAGTGACCTTTCGCCGGAGTGACCTTTGGTGCGGGCCCAGTGGGGCCCCCCAATCGCCGAACGCGATACGATAGTGGCGTCTTGCGCGCCTGTGTTTGGTCCCCCCGCGGCCCCCAAGAAGCCGCGCACCAAAGGTCACTCTTACCAAGGGTCACTCCTGCGTGTAGCCGATGCACCACCCGTGGGAGGCGCACCTCTGCGCTGCCAGCGAGCTGCGATATGCAGGCCCCGGCGGGGCGAGAGAGAGAGGGGCGGACGGGGCGGGCGGACCCTCGCGGGCTGGGCGGGCGAGACGGTCAAGCGGTTGGTCAGGTGGACGGCCAGGCGGCATGGGCGGACCACAGGCGGGCCGAGCGGGCGGGACAGGGTATGGGAGGCTCCCACGAGTTGCCGCCGACGGGGGAGCACAGCCTGACACGCTGGCCTCCCTGAGCCCCTTTCGTGGGAGCAGCCCTCGACGCCACGGCGGGGCCCGCTCCGTCGCCTCCTGGCTCGGAGCGCGCCGCCGGAGCCCCCGGTGCCAGTGCAAGCGGGCTCAGCGGGCGAGCTTCCCAGCAGATGAACGGGCGAACCTACCGGGCGTGTCGGGCGGGCAGATCCTAGCCAGCGGGCCGGGCGGGCGAGACGGTCAAGCGGCTGGTCAGGTGGGCGGGGCACGAGAGCGGACGGGCGGCACGGGCGGGCCCTCACAGGCGGGCCGAGTGTCAAGCAGTGGCGAGGCGCCTTGGCTCGCCCGTGGCCCTGCCAAGCAGTGTTCTAAGAACTTGTTTTGTGGTCTCTACGGAGTGTTCTCAGAACACTTCTGGCTGGGGCCGTCTGGCTTTAACGCCTCGGGGATATGTTCTAAGAACGCTGCTTGTTCTAAGAACATTTTGGGGTTCTGAGAACATTCCGTGGCAGGACTATAGGAATGCCGGGACGACGGTCGGCCCCTGCTCAAGAGCGGGCGGGACATGGAAACGCGCGGGCGAGCTTCCAAGCAGATGAGCGGGCGAACCTACCGGGCGGGTCGGGCGGGCAGATCCTAACCAGCGGGTCGGGCGGGCGGACCCGGACATGCGGGCCGAGCGGGCGGGACGTGAATGCGCGAGGTTTGAATTTGTCACGGCGGACTCCCATACGAAAGCGTGAGCGCTGACTTTGTATATCTGGTTGGCAAGACAGCGTTTGTTGAATGAATTGCGAGGATGTACCAGGCCAGAGTATGATTATTGAGCGGCGCGGGGCTGCTTCTTAAATCGATGAAGAGGAAATCTGCTGGGAGAGGGCGATTCTTAGTTAAAGTAAGTCTCAGGTTGGAATCGCTGCTGCAGGATTACAATCGGAGTGCGAGCACCGAGGCACATGAATGGAAAAAATACCATGGGAACTTGTAAGAGGATCACCAGTTATTGACACGTCTCAGAAGCGAGAGCTCAGCGGCAAAAATGTCTGCTTGCTGATGTGGTCCTCCCAACGGGGTATCCCGGGCAGGCTCAGTGTCCACATCGAGCGCCGTCTTGGCCCCGTCGCGGGACCTCCTTGGGGGACGTGCGGGAGGCCAACGTGGGCCATGCTGCGCCATCGAGGCCATCTTGGGCTGTCCGAGGCCCTGCTGGAGCAGCGTCGAGCCAGTGCGGGCACCCTGGCACCTGGCGGGGGCGACGCCCAGGCCCCCTTGGGAAAGGGGGGAGGGGGGGGGAAGCCCGTCCCCTGGGGGGAGGGGGGAGGGGGGAGGGGGGAGGGCAAGCTAGGTGCGCGCGCGTCATATCTGACATCCTACCCCTCCCTCCCATCCCTTACCATGGCGCTGATTTTATCTATCCGCGGACGCGTGTCGTAGCGGACCTGTGGCTCCGCGCGCGCGTGCGTAGTGGGTGGTGGTGCGCGTGCGTGCGTGCGTGCGTGTGTGCGTGGTTGTGGTGGTGCTGGTGCTGGTGCTGGTGCTGGTGCTGGTGCTGGTGCTGGTGCTGGTGCTGGTGCTGGTGCTGGTGCTGGTGCTGGTGCTGGTGGTGGTGTGTGGTGGTGGTGGTGGTGGTGGTGGTGGTGGTGGTGGTGGTGGTGGTGGGGTGTGGGCGGAGAAAAAAGAGCCCGCGCTGGGGCGAGAACGCCATCCTGAACGACGGAGGCCAAACACCGATCCGACAATGAGGCCCACGCTGCAGCGGGAGCACGATTCGGAACGATTCGGGAGCAGAAATGAGGCCGGCGCCTCAGCGAGAGCAGCATTTTGAAAAAAGACGCAGGCGAAAACCCAACTCCCGGGAATCCTGTGTGTAAAAAACAGTACGCGGGGGGGGGTCGACTACTTTCAGGCCGCCATCGGGGGAAGAGGGAGAGTAGTATTCAGATTGAGTAATTGTGGAGCGGGAGAGAGAGGGGGAGGGAGGGAGGGGACGGGGGGAAGGGGGGAAGGGGAAGGGGAGGGGTTTATTCGGAAGAGCTTGCACCTTGAAGCGCCTACGCCTAGAAAGGGCTGGTGGGATTTGCAGCCGAACACTGCCACCTACACTGCTGGAATCAGCGCGTGCGCGACGCGAGGGGAGTGGCGGAAGGCGCTGTCATTGCTGCGCGAGCTCCAGGAGTTGAGGGAGGCGCTTGACACGGGCAGCTACAGCGCTGCAATCTCCGCTTGCGAGGAGGGCAGGGAATGGCGGCGGGCGCTGGCACTGCTGAGCGAGATGCGTGAGGTGATCGTTGAAACGGGCGTTGCCAGCTACGGGGCTGCAACCATGGCATGCCTGAAGGGTGGACAGTGGCAATTGTCTCTGTCGCTTCTGCAGAACATCGGCCCAGATCCCTTTACCTTCAGTGTGGGAGCCAACGCGTGCCAGAGGGGTGGCAATTGCCGAATGGTGGTGCCATTGTTGAGGGAGCTATGGTCGTCAGCAGTCGCAGTGCTGGAGCCCGTGCGTTCAAGGAAGCCAGTTGCTGCAGCAGAGGTTGCCGCGGCTATGTTGCTCTAGGAGTTGAGCTTGGAGATGCGAGACAACGGTGCAGAGTCACAAGCAGTTGAGGAGGAGAAGTCTGCGCTCGCTGTACAGCAATACCCGCTCCAATGTGCGAAGATATTGGATGGTTCAAGGTCGTCTGCTTCACTTCTCGAAAGGGCTCAGGCTTGAAACTGTTCAATGGCAGCCCAAGAACGGCTCGCTCTTAGAGCTGCCCGATGGCGACCACCACGACTCGGCGCTTGCCGACATCATCGGCGCCCTCAAGGACCTCAAATATGGAGCCACGGCAAGCAGGGGACAACTCGTTAACAATTGTGGTGGTGGCGACCTGGACCTGGGGCGACGGTCTCCAATTCTTCAGACGCCAGCTTGGAGAGACGCAGACAGCTCGGCCGCGCGAAAGCCGCCTACCGCAACTGCTTCTCGCCAGGTCCCGCGAATGGTTCTGGCGGTGTCCCATGGTGTTGGCTATTGGCGAGATCTCACCAGACAGTACGATTACCCGGACAATTCCACAGCGGCTGGAAAGTTTGTGATGTTGTTTTCCGATTGGATCGGAATTATTGTTGTTTCCTTTCCTCTAGCATCCCCCTCCAGCACACCTGTCACCCCATAGCACGCGATAGCACGTGACGCAGACTGTACGCAATGTGTGCCCACAAAACATGCACCACAACACAGCATATGGGCACACCCGATCACTTTGCACCGAGCGCTTGCACACAGCAAAGCAAATATCGAGGCGCCTCCAGCAAATCCAGGCGCCGTGCCAGCTCAGCAGCGCAGAAGAAGCGAAGTTGGATGTCAGATCCGTTTCAGTTCAGCGCCATGTTTGAACTGGCGCGGGTCTTCACACCCCCATCATTGTCCGCAGCTTCGGCATCTCCCTCTTCATTCCTCCTTCCTCCTACTCCTGTCCCATCCTGTCTCCCCGCTCATGAAAGTACTTCGGAGGCTTCTTGGCTGATTCTTCGGCGCCTTTTGAAAGCCCTCCGGGTCCTCTTGGGGGCCTCCAGGGGGTCTGTTAGGGCCCATTTGAAGGCCCGTCGGGGGTCTCAAGACCGTTTTGGGCGCGATGGTTTTATCAAGCTCCTCTATTTTATATATATATATATATAGAGATCGGTTGGATCACCTTGGAGGAGGTTTGGGCTGGTCTTGAGGCGTCTTGAGGGCCTCGTGGACCTTCTTGAGAGATTATCGGATAGTCTTGGGGACTTTCTCAGGCCGCCAGGAGGAAGGAAGGATCCGTTGAGCAGTGGAGGAGCCACAACGAGCAGGTGGAGGTCGGGAGCGACTATTTGGCTTGAGAGATCAGGGTCGACGACAGCTCGAGGCGGATCCTCGCCAGGCTGCGCGAGAGCAGGCTCCTTAGAGATCGCCACGCTCAGGGGCGAAGCAGTCAGAAGAGGGCCACGTCCGATGAGGAGTGGCAGCAGCAAGAGCAGCAGCTGCTGCAGCTTTGTTTGGTGAGCAAGCGGGGGCCGCTGCTGCGCGCGACGCCACCGTGGCCCAAGAGGCGCTCAGCGCCACAGCCAGCTGGCTCTGCAGGGCCGGAGATGGCGGCGCTCCGCTCCCTGGTGGCGAGCGGGGGGCGCTGGGCGCGCTTGGCAGCGCCGCTCGCCAGCGCAGGCCCCTCGCCCTGGGCGCCGCTGTCCCCACCCCCCTTGCCCTTCCTCCGGAGGAGGGCCAGTCGAGACAACCGCGGCCCTCTCTGGCGTTCTCCGTCCCCTGTGGACTTCTCGGAGCCCGCTCGTCGACACACGGCTGGACCCGCCTCGAAGACGGATCGGCGTGGACCCCAGGAGGGGTCCAGGCACCGATGTTGAGCGGAGTTAAGCCGGCAGGCAGAGCACTGGTGTCTCGGTCGGCCTTCCTCTGGCGTTTTGTCTTCGTCCCTCGCCTCCGCTGCAGCCTTCATGACTCCAGCGACGACTGCCGACGTTGCCCCCGCTTCATGTGCTCTCCGCCTTGCCGCCACGATGATGCATTGGTCCGGCGAGGGCCCCCAGATGCCAAAAAGCACCAGTATGTTTAACCATGATGCTTGTTCACAACACGGGGACGTCGGGGGAAGGAGGACGAAGAGGAGGACGAGGACCCGATTGAGGAGGGATGAGCAGCGCAGGAAAGGCGGCAGCAGCAGCAGCAAGAGGAGAGGGGAAGGAAGATCCGCAGTAGCAGCGCCTGCGCAGGAGGGGAGGCGAAGAGGAACGAGGCGTGGACACCTTCCCCAGGACCAGCTTCTCACCCCGAGCCGCGTTTTGACCGTCCAGTGGCTTCGCGAAGGCCCCCAAAGGCCGAGAATTGTGATCCACATCGCGAGGATGCCGGGGGAGGAAGGGGGAAGAGGAGGACGAGGACCCGACTGAGGAGGCGAGGGAGTCGAGGAGGCGAGAAGGAGGAGGAGGAGGAGGAGGAGCCGCAGTAGCAGCACCTACGCAGGGGGGGATGCGAGCAGGAAGAGGAGGATGACAAACTGATGAGAGCAGGGATGAGCAGCTGCAGCGCGGCCGCCCGCGGCGCGCCTTCAGGCCGTAGGGGTGGCTTGGGCTTCGGCGCCCGGTGTCGGCTCCTCGCCGCCGCCGCGGCGGAGGCGCAGCGGCCGCCGCGCCGCCGCCGCCGACAGTTGGCTCTGGCTCCTCCTGGTCGACACCTCCTCGTCCTCCAGACGCTGACGCTGCTGACACCAGGGTTGATATCCAGCGCTGCCATCCCCCACCCCCCAAGAGACGGTCGCTCCTGAGGGGGTGAAGGAGGTAGAGATTCGCGAAAGGGGCAGCAAAGGAGGACTCCAGAGGGCGAGAAACCTCCGTGCGGCCCCAGGGCGAGGGGAGGGAAAAGAAGCGACGGAACGGCGCGACGACCGACAGGAGGCAGGTGGAGAGTGGTGATGGGCAGGCGCGGCGGTGTTCGCGGGGAGAGGGCCCGAGCATGGGCCCCACCCTGCGAGGGCAGGGAGGGGCCCACCTCGGCACGCCTCCCCTGAAGCAGGGACCCCATCCTGTCCATCTCTTCCTCATCCTCCGCCCCCTCCTCCTCCTCTTCCTCATCACCATCACCATCACCATCACCATCACCATCATCATCATCATCATCATCATCATCATCATCAGCATCATCATCATCAGCATCAGCAGCAGCAGCATCAGCATCAGCATCATCATCATCCTGTTCCTCCTCCTCCTCTTGCTCCTCCTCCTCCTCATTCTGCCCATCCTCCCAATCGAGAATCCCGACGTTAGCTTATGTACAGCCTATGATACGTCCCCATAAGTTTCTGCACAGGCTATGCGTAGGCCTACTACAGGCCTGTGGACAGGCTATCCACAGGCCTATGGTAGGCCTACGCATAGGTTGTGCATAGGCATATGGTAGCCGTCGCCATAGGGTTTGCTACAGCCTTTGCACAGGGCTACTATTGGCCTATACACAGCCTGCCGATAGGCCCATCACAGGCCTGTGCATAGCCAACCCATGCTCCTACGATAGGCATCATGATAGGCTGTTTCAGGGCCTGTGGGCATAGCCTATGCATAGGCCTATGTATGCATGGGCCCACGCAGAGGCTCTACACAGGACAGGCTGTGCACAGGCCTGTCGAGGGCATCTCCCAGGAATGGCGCTCCGCGACGGGCTTATGCAGAGGCTGCGCACAGGCCTACCACAGGCCCGTGCACGGTCTACGCGCAGGCGTGTGACAAGCCTCTGGGGAGCCTCCCTGGGAGCCAGCGTCCCGCGACAGGCCTACGCACAGGCTGCGCACAGGCCTACCACAAGCCCCTTGTACAGGCTGTGCACAGGCCTGTGGCAGGCGAGGAGGAGGAGGAGGAGGAGGAGGAGAAGGAGAAAGAGGAGGAGGAGAAAGAGGAGAAGGAAAAGGAGAAAGAGGAGGAGGAGAAAGAGGAGAAGGAAAAGGAGGAGGAAAAGGAGGAGGAGGAAGAGGAGGAGGAGGAGGAGGAGGCCGATGAGGCGGAGGAGGCGGAGGAGGCGGAGGAGGCGGAGGAGGCGAAGGAGGCGGAGGAGGCGGAGGAGGCGCAGGAGGAGGAGGAGGCGGAGGAGGAGGAGGAGGAGGAGGAGGAGGCGGAGGAGGCGGAGGAGGAGGAGGAGGAGCTAGGAGGCGGAGGAGGAGGAGGCGGAGCGCGGGGTGACGTAACAAGCTCTCAACGCCAAGGCTCCCAGTACGAACGGTGGTGTGAGTAATTTCGGTCAAGTTCCTGCAGCGCTCTTTCCGTTTCCGTGCCGGCCCAGGTCTACTTGCCCTCCCGCCTCGTTTTTTATCGAGTAGGACGGCCTTCGGGGCTTGAAAACAGCGTTTCGCTCGAGACAACATCGGAGAACGCTTCTTGGGCGCTTCTTGGGCCGTCTTAGGCGCCTAAGACAGCCCAGGAAGCGGCCAAGACGGCGCCCAAGACTGCCAAAGACTGCCCAAGAAGCGCCCAGGACGGCCCAAGAGCGCTCCAAGAGAGCCCAAGACCGCCCAAGACGGCCCCAAGACGTCCCAAGAGGCCTCCACGACGCCCCAGGAGGCGCCCACGAGGCGTCCCAAGAGGGCCCCAAGAGGCCAAAATCATTGATTTTCTTACGGAAAACGTGCACGTTTAGCATATACGGCTTTTCGCCTTTCATAGCGTTAAAGACGGCCTAAGAGGCCCCCAAGACCACCCCAAGACGGCCCAAGATGTTCCCAAGAGGCCCCAAAAATAGCCCAAGAGGGCGCCAAGACGGGCCAAGAGGCGTCCAAGACTGTCCAAGAGGCCCCCAAGAGCGCCCCAAGAAGGCCCAAGAGGCCCCCAAGAAGGCCCCAAAACGGCCCAAGAGGGCGCCGAGACGGCCCAAGAGGCGCCAAGACGGCCCAAGACGGCCCCAGGACGGCCCCAAGAAGGCCCCAAAAGGCCCCCAAGAGAGCCCAAAGACATCCAAAGGCAGCCTGGTCCTTTCACCCCCGCAGCCCAGAAGCTCCCAGGAGGCCCCCAGAGGCCCTCGAAAAGCCCCAAAAGGTCCACAAGAGGCACCCAAGAGGCTCCCCAAGAGCCCCACAAGAGGCCCAAAATACTCCCAAAGGCTCTTAGCACCGCGGCTCCCAAGAGCGAGCGGTGACGTAATCGAGCTGATAAGACCAAAGTTCCCAACAGAGAGCTGCGGCGTAATAAGTTCTTGCAGCCAGGGCACAGGGACGGGCGGCAACGCGTGGACAACGAGCGGTCCACGCAAGGACAACGCGGGGTTCTGGAAAGTTGGCAGCCCAAACGCGGAAAACGCAACGCGACCCGACCGCCCCCTCCAAAACAAGAAACGCGCTCAAAGAAAGCTCCGCGACTCTCCGAGGCTGAGATAGGACAAGAGCGAGGGGAAGGGAGTCAATCAGAGGTGTAAGAGCGGACGAGCCAGCGATACCGTGCGCTCTGAAAGTAAGTGCGCTTTCCATCCCCGTGCCAAGCAGGTCTAATAGCCTTCGGCCCATCACGCCACCGTGCCTGCATCGTGGGTATGAAGCCTATGGATGTTCGTTGGGATCTCGTGGGGGGCCTCTCAGGCGCCTCCTGGAGGCAGTTTGGAGGCCTCTTGGAGGCTTTTGTGGGGCCTCCTGGGAGCCTCTTGGGGCAGAAGGTTCGGATTTTCGGTTCGTGTTCCCTCTCTTGAGCCCCTTTTGGGGCCGTCTTGGGGCCCTCTTGGGCCGTCTTGGGCGCCTGTTGGGCCGTCTTGGGGCGCTCTTGGCCCGTTTGGGGGCCCTCTTGGACGCCTCTTTGGCCGTTTTGGAATGTTTGTGGGGGCCTCTTAGGCCGTCTTGGAGCGTCGGGAAGCCGAAAAGGCGAGAACGCCAAATATTTCAAAAAAATCCTAAACCAAATCAATGATGTTTGCTTCTTGGGAGGCCTCTCGGAGGCCTTTTGGGGCGTCTTGGATGCCTCTAGGGTCATCTTGGTAGTCTTGGGTCTTGGACCATCTTGTGGGCCTCGTGGGGCCCTCTTGGCCCGTCTTGGGGCCTTCTTGGACCCGAAAAAGTCATGCGACAAGCCGCGGGGGAGCCCAGAGGGCACGCTGGGAGCTCCGCCAAATTTTGGAATTTGGGGTCCGGGCCCATTCAAGACTCCTCAGGATTGAGGACTGAGGCCCCAGGAATGAGGCAAAGGACCTGAGGACACGCCTACACCGTGCCCAGAGGCACGGTGGTGGATCAATGTGTATATGGGCGTGTGCCGCGCACAAAATCACGATGGAAGGGTTGTGTCCGCGCGCCCGCCACTCTTGCAGGCGGGCGGCTTACCGGGCGCCCGTCCCCCCTCCCCCATCTTCCCTTCTCGTTCGGAGGTGGCGGACTGGTACGGCTTCGGGTCGCACGCAAACAACCCCATGGTTGATAGTGTAATCCGAACCCTGCCCTTGCCGATCAACGATTCGGGCAACTCGAAGGGCGGCTGGGTGGAATTCGAAGCTCTTGAAGCACTTGGCGAAGTCCGCACCCTACCCCCGCCAACCGTTGCCACCTACCCAGGTAGTCTCGGCTGACCTCCCGAGTAGTCCCAGCTGGTTTCAACGAAGCCCCCAAGTAGTCCGGGGTGGCCCCAACACCTCAGCCACCCTGCGGCACGGAACGCCCCACGGGCGGCATGTTGAGGTCGCTTCAAAAATATTGGGGTGTTTGTTGAGGCTAGCCCGGACTGCCTGGGGGGAAGCTGTCCGTGCGCAACTTGCAGCATTATTTTGGTTAGGATGCAACTTCTGGGAGATTAAATTATGATATTTCCCGCGACGTTACGTTGGTGAGCTGAGCGCTGGCCAACGTGGCGTCGTGGAGAAGGTGGCGGGTCGGGCTCTTGCGCATGAATTCCTGTCTCACGCGCGGGCACAGAAGACAAGCAGGAGACGCGCTGACCTGGAGCCCCTCTTGTGGGTGCCACACGGCGGCCCGGGCATTGAGACAAGCGTCGTCGCAGATTAGATCCAGAAGGAACTGGTCGAGAAGGAAGTGGGGTGAACGCACGGCATCGGCTTCCAGGTAGCCGCCTTGCAACCTACAAAAGCGTCAGCCCTCGACGGGAATACGATTCACAATGCCTCTGTAATGGGCGCGAACAAAACTAAAGAGCAGAACGGCGGCGGTGATTGAGGCGCACAGCCGAGGAAGAAGAAGAAGAAGAAGAAGAAGTGGCCGCGCAGCGAATGTCACATCGTAAGTTGCTGATTGCAGAGGAGGTCAGCATGGTGAGCGCGAATTTCCTCGCAGAGCTCGACTCGCAGCTGCGGTCGCGCACGTCAGCAGAAAGCGAGACGAAGGTAGGGAAGGACGGCTTGGACAGGCCACTCGGAGGCGCGAGCGTGTTGTTACGCGGAGATTTTCATGAGCCGGAGCCGCCGTCCGGAACAGCAATCAATGCGTCGCCCACGTCGTACCTGAAGATTTCAAGGAAGCACGCGCCGGGGGCCACGGAGGACCACGGGCAGCACATGTTCTGGGGGGTCGGAGGCGAAGGGGCAGCGCAGGTGATGACGGAGCTAACGGAGTGCAAGCGCGCGGAGGATCAGGACGACTTGGTTCTTTGGGGTACAGGACGAGTTTCGGCGAGGCGTGCTGATTGAGCGCACGGACAATTT